ATATTCATTAATCAATAAGGCCTCATTTGGTTGCAAAATCTAATGAAAATCCAATTATTTTATCGGATCCCGTGACGTGCAACAAAAAAAAAAAACTCTCAAAAAAAAAAAAGATAAGACATAATAACATAATATCCGCTGATCGATCCGAGATGTTATTGGGATACCAAACAAACGAGCCTTAATGTAAAAGAAGTTATAAATGCAGAATCAAAACTCAAGGACATGCATTTTTTTCAAACAAAACTCTCTAACTTAAAAAAAAAACTCAAATTTTCTCTATATTTCGAAAATTCAGATCAAGTTTATACAACTTGAACGTCCATCAAACGAAACTACGATTATGAACATGGACGATTATAATTCCAACTTTGAGATAAAAAAAAACATATTTTTTGTCGAAGAAAAGGCAAAAAAAAATTATATTCAAGTGATGAATACTCAAATGGAAAAATTAAACAATATATATAGCTCGTTCGGTTACCTATATTGGATTAGATTAAATTAAATGAGATTGGATTAACTCCCTACGGGCTAATTAATTAATTAGTTAGTAGCATGTCCGGTTTCTTAGATTAGATCTTCTATTAAATTTGTTAAATTTAGTTATTATATATAAATTGTCTATAAAATCACTTAGATTGAAATAATACGATATGATTTTAAGGATAAAAATGTCTTTTTCCTTTTTAATCACCCCCAATTAAATTAATCTATTGGGGATGGGTGCTACTAATTTAATGCAATAGTAGCATTTAATAGCGGACTTTGATTTTAGAAGCGGGTTTAAAAAAGTATGAATCTTGTCAACCGAACGTGTTATTAGCCCATATTATTTAGTCAGTAGAACCTTATAGCAGTAATCGAACGAGCTATAATATTAAAACAGAAAAAAATAGTTTTCTTTAAGAAATTAAAATAAAATCTTCTAGAACCTCTCGTTTAGTTATTTGTTAAATTGGTTGATGGTAGCTTTGGGTAAAATGAGTCTTATCAACGAGGTTGATTTAGATTATGAAATTGACTGACCCATTATTAAACAATAAAGTGATGAAAATATTATATTATTATATCAAAGGGGGATGTAAACGTATTTGGTTGAGCGTTTTTGACTATGACTAGGTTTTTAAGTTGCTTTCATATCACAGAGAGAGAGAGAGAGAGAGAGAGAGAGAGAGAGAGAGAGAGATTAAACGGGGTCCAGCTATACGTCGTCGTGTTGTTGAAGATTTAGGAAGAACCCCGTTTTCACACTGTTCATATATATGCTTTTCACATGCCGAAAGTGGTAGACATAATTAATGCCCCTTGTTGAAATTTTGGTATTTAAAGACAAATCAGATTAAACGTGTCCAAAACAAAAATTATATAATAAACTTAATGACAAGTTGAAAATTTCATCCATCATGTGCCGATTTTAGTACGAGAGTTGCTACCTAGCCTTAGCATTCACCTTCTCCGACTTGATTGTAAATGACTTGAATTTAGTAAAAGAAAAAAAAAGAGTTAGAAAGACCAAAAAACCCCTACATTAAGCATGTGCATCGCGGGTGCTCTGGAAAATGAGAAGTGGCTAGAATATCTCCCTTAGATGGTTATGTGCGTAAAAAAATGAGGTTGGGCGTGCCTGTGCAAATTTTTTAGTTAGGATGATAAAGTGCTCGAAAAACAAATCAAGGGAGTAAAAGTGCAAACTTGAAGTCCTATAGCAGCAATTAGTGATATATATAACATATTTTGTAGACCATACATCTGATGAAATATGCTATGTAGTTTTACACGCCTGATCTACAAAAAATAACATACACATCTTTTGAAATAATAAAAAAAGTTTTATCTTAGGGGATTTTTATTTATATAAATTTACCGTTTAAAATCATATCTCCTCTATCATCAGGTGCATAAGGTCATATAACAGGCCAATTATATCGTATTTATAATTGAAATTTGTCCAACATGGAACAAAAAAATTGGTTGGAAATTGGGAAATTTAGGTCGGAATAGATATAAATGAGGCACAAAAATCCAGAAAATTAAACCGTTACATAGTTTGATGGCAGAATAAATCTGACTTTTGAATAATGGGGTAGTTAAAGTTTGTGTCTTTTTCTCTTGTTTCGCATCAGTTATGTTTTTATGGGCCATGAATTTGTATTTCTCTGGTCCCATATTAATTTATTGTCTCCAATTATTAATATTTTCAAGGGCCTAAATTTATTTGGGACCCCATAGTCTTGTTGTTTTGTTAGCATATGAAGTTAGACACGGCCACGGGCCGGTTTTGGGCCCGGAACCGGCCCGAACCGGCCCGTTGACGGCCCAAACCGACCCGTTGACCAAGTGAACCGGCCCGGGCCCGTGAACCGGCCCGTCCCACCCGGGACGGGCCCGGTTCTGAAAAATGATGAACCGTGAACCGCCGGGCCGGCCCGGCGGTTCACCCGGATTTAAAAAAAAAAAAAAAAAAAAATTCAAAAAAATTAAAAAAAAAGTGAATAACGGCCGGTTGAACCGGCCCGGGTGAACCGGCCGTTATTCACTTTTTTTTGAATTTTTTTGCCCCCCCAATTTTTCCTATAAATACCCTTACACCCCAATTTTGCTTTTTTTTGAATTTTTTTTGCCCCCAACCCCCCCAATTTTTCCTATAACCCTCACACCCCAATTTTTCCTATAATTTACTTATTCATCAAATATTTCAAACTTGTGCTTCTAAATTGACTTTTCATTTATTTCCTTTTCCTTTATCTATTTAAAAGTATTTCTTTTAATTTACTTATTCATTAAATATTTCAAAAAAAAAAAAAAAAAAAAAAACAAAAAAAAAAAAAATTCAAAATTTCCGGGCCGACCCGGAACCGGCCCGGATATGCCCGTGAACCGGTCCGAACCGGCGGGCCGACCCGGCCCGGTGAACCGTGCACGCCACGGGCCGGTTCCCGTTCCGGAAAATGTGAACCGTGAACCGGTCCGAACCGGCCCGGAACCGGCCCGGAACCGGCCCGAACCGGCCCGTGGCCGTGTCTAATGAAGTTGCTCTATACGGATTTCAAATTACAAATTTGCCCTTTTGATATAAAATAAATAAATACATATCAACAAAAAGAAAAGTTTTGATGAAACCCTGGTATTTTTTTCGGGTCCTTATATCATACACCGATACTGATTTTTGTTCCTATATTTTTTTTCCACGGTTTTAGTCCTCAAACTAATTTATATGTGCCGAATCAATCATCGTTCTGCAGATTTTTTATTTCAAATTATTTCTCACTTTAGATTTGAAATAATGCTATAAATTGCATTTTTTTTTTTTAATTTTGACCTTATTAGTACTCTTAATTACTTGAGAGATTATTAGTGGTCAAAAAATTAAATGAAGGGGTTATAATCTTATTTGATGGATCTTATATACAAAAGAAAAGGAAAAGTTGTTTTAGTGAAACCCTATGCAATTTTTGGTGTCATGTATCATACATCAAAACTGATTTTAGTTCATATATTTGTTCCTACCGTTTTAGTCCTTAAACTAACCACTTTTATTCACTTTGGTCCCCGTCTGAAGTATAGAGAAGAAGTGTTGTTTGGTGAAACCCAAGGTACTTTTTGCTGCCCTATATCATACACCAAAATTGATTTTAGTTCATATATATGTTCCAAAGGTTTTAGTCCACAACTTCCTCTTTTTTAACTTTTGGTCCGCCGTTTGAATTGGGGTCAATTTGGATGGAAAAAGTCACGCGTTTTGCACATATAACCCATTTAAACCCTCCTTCTTATTCATATTCCTTATTTAGCGCCAATATCATCTTATTTCTATTTTTTCTTTCACAAAAGCCGCCTTTCAAATCCCTGAATCATTTTCTGCTTCTATCTTCTGTAAACTCATAAAGTTTTCTTCTTCATAAATATAGGGTAGCAGAAAAATCCCTCAAGTAATCTTACATTTTTTTTAGTTCAAGAAATTTTTTCGAATCCGATTAACTATGTGGATGTCGATGTTAAATTAATTCGGAGAGCTCTACGCCGAGTCCTTAGGCCAAAAAATGATCGATCGGCCTTTCTTGGACTGCAAGAATGTTGTAATAAAAAGGTGTAACTAGTAACTAACATTAGTGATTAGATCAAAACCATTCAAGCTTGAATGGGATTGTCTACAAGCAATTACGATTTACGACACTCAAAGGAATGAAATTACGGAATCATCTTTTGGAGCCTACATAGAAGATTGTTGCAGAATTGTTAAAACTTTTGTTTCATGTCAGTTTAGTTTTGTTAAGCGGTCCGGGAATTTTCTAGCTCACCACCTAGATTCAATGTCTGTTTCTTCTTGTACCGAGGGAGATGTCCTCCCAGTCTTTTTGGCACTATTTGATTAATGAAATTGGTGTTTTACCTCATAAAAAAAAATCATTTTCTTCAAGAAAACAAATTTTATTTCAGTTAAATAGAAACAAAAACCCCACCATTTTGGAAGTTGGAATATAATGAAGGATTTCTTTGTTTCAAAATTTGATATTTTCGAATTAAAATTGACGAATTTGGAAATTCAATTCCCTTAACTATCTATAGACTATAATTGTATGAAACTAAATAATAGTATTGATATTATATAGTACTAACATTTGAAGAAAATAAAAATCAGTATTTGATATATCAATTCCGATTTTAACCCCAAGAAGATTCATAAAAAAAATTCAGAAACTAGGCGTCAATACAAAACATGTGAAAAGAGTTCAATACAAAACACATTACAATTTAAATATATAAATATAATCATGAGTTAATATTTATCTGAAAACTTATATCCAAACAAACTTAAGGAAAAATAGGCGTCGAATAAATAGATTTGATTCCCATCATTCTTCATTTTTTCCTAAAATAGAAACAGTTGCAAAAAGAACGCTTCTCTCTCTCTCTCTCTCTCTCTCTCTCTCTCTCTCTCTCTCTCTATGTCTATAAAAAAAATGGAGAGGGGTCATCAATCCTTCAGGGGCACGAGGATTATTTATAATCGGAGGAAAAAAATAGGGTATAAAAAGCCTCTGATATAATAATATTTTATATTAATTTCATCCTCTGTGTGTGGGGGGAAAGGGAATTAAACAACAACAATGCCTTCCCTTGTTTGGTTGTTGCTTTTGGCCCACGCCACCCTGGCGTTGAGCACCGACGAGAATCTCTCCGACGCATACAAAAGCATATTCATACTCGCCGGACAAAGCAACATGGCCGGACGAGCGGGCGTTATAGCCGGCAAACTTGGCGGGGATGTGCCGCCTGCATGCACACCCAGTCCCTTCATCCTACGCCTGAACCCTAACCTCACGTGGGAAGAGGCACGTGACCCTCTCCACGAGGGTATTGATGTCCATAAACCTTGTGGAATCGGGCCCGGGATGCCGTTTGCTAATTCGGTTCTGGAGAGGGACTCGAGCATTGGGGTCATCGGTTTGGTCCCGTGTGCCATCGGGGCAACCAACTTAACCTCGTGGAGCCGCGGCCATGTCAACTACAATCGGATGCTCATGCGAGCGCAGGCGGCGTTGAGCGATGGAAGAGGGGTAATTCGGGCTATTTTGTGGTTCCAAGGGGAGGGTGACGCGGTGTTCGAACAGGATGCTATGTGTTACAAGGAGAAATTGAAGACTTTCTTCAACGACATCCGATCGGATTTGCAGATGCCCGAGCTACCTATAATCCAGGTATTATATTATATATATCAAATGATTCACCTTATTAACAACTTTTAAATGTTTAGATGAAGCGATGATTCCGATCCACGTGCATGGATCAAAGTCGTCATGTGTTTGAATCCCACACCTAACAAATCCGTTCAAGAAATTGAACGTGCACATGTCTCAAATAAGGATAGTGCATTTCGCACGGAATTTTTAAAATCCACCGATTTCATGAACATGAAAAATTCTAATTTTGGAACAACTTTTTTTCGTTCAGACTTCCAAAATTCTGATCTACGACTTTGTTTTTCTTATAAAAGTTCGAGAACTCATGTTATTTTCACAAAAAAATTGAAATTCCGTGAAATTTCTTCTAGTTAAAATTTTGGAAGTATTTTTAAATTCTTAAAAAAAATCCGAAAAAGGATCTGTACAGTCCGACTTTCAACCCTTGTTTTCAAAGCATATAATACATTTGTACGTGTTGGAGATATAAATATCAAATGATCAATAAAATTTTGACATGCTATTATTAATTGTTTCAATTTTGCATATGTTTTGTGGTGTAGGTGGCTTTGCCAACAAGAAACGCAGGAAATTATACAGATGAAATAAGAGAAGCTCAGCTGGGATTAGAGCTTCCAAATCTGAAATGCGTTGATGCATGGGGATTGCCGGTGATCAAAGGCGACGCGGTGCATCTTAACACCGACAGTCAAATCCAGGTTGGCCACATGTTGGCCGACGCCTTCCTCCAGCTTACGACGGCATCGCCTCCACCTCCTCCGTCGGCAGAAAGTTGTGCATGATTACATATTTATGTATCTTGTTCAATTAATATAAATTTACTAAATTTGGTTATTACTCAATCAAATTAATTCTATGGCTCTCTAGTCTCCACATGCCCCTATTTTTTTCATTGCAAATCAACTATACGGCTCAAGCATACATAAACTATGTTGCATGAACACAGAAACATGCACAAAAACTATGAAATATAGAAAAGTACACGACAAAATGGTATATATTTCGAAAGACGATATGACATGGGAACGTCGTAAAACGAGCAAATGTTGAAAATATATACGAGTAAATTAAATTTAAAATTATAAATATTAATACATTTTACATCTTTTCTTATGTATTAATTCAAAAATTCTAACTATAATTTTCATATATTTGCTACATAATTTATTCATATAAATTTTACTATCAACTATCAGTATATTAATTAATTATGAAATAGTAGTATATCCACGTGCAGTGGCGAGGCCAGAAAGTATGGTGAGGGGGGCTTAAACACACGGGGGTTCGGGGGCAGCGTGCCCGAAAAAAATTTTGCTACGAAATAAATTTGAAATGAAAATTCGATATGAATTTTTTTTTCCTTCACTTTCAGAATATAATACCAAAACGAATCGCGAAAGCTAAATTGCTATGGAAATTTAAGAAACATGAATAACAAGTCGATTATCAAATTGACACGGAGAAGTTGTCAATGCTAAAACGACGTCGGTGGGTGGCAATTTAACCGCTATTAGTGTGACTGTGGGAGTGAACAAATATTTTTTTTCTTTTTTTCTTTCGAGAAACGTAATGAAGTTGAGAAATAGAAGATGATAGCAAGTCATATATGGAGGGGCTTTGTGTAAGTGGACTCAAAATAAGTGGGCTTAAATAATCTAATTAAATAGACTTTTAAATTTATATATATATATATATATATATATATATATATATATATATATATATATATACCCTAACCCTAACCTAGCTTGTACGTCTGCCATGCCTGAACCAACGCCGGCGGATGTCGGCGGCGACGTTCCTCCATCAGCCTTCTCTCCATCGATGGATCCTATCAAACCTGTTGTTCGTACCTTCGCCCAGGTAATTACACCGGCTGCTCCGAAGCCACCACCTGTATGGTTCAATCCTATCAATCTCTCGCTACCACCTCAACAGTTTACGTCTATTGAAGAGGCTCCAGCCGTTTTCTTCTCATCATTAGAGATGGATCTCACCTCAAAGCAATTTGAGCACGCGTTAATCATGAAATTTTCCAGAGGTCGCCCGAGTCTCCATGATATCCGTACGAAGATATATCAATCTTGGAATCTCTCCAAAGAGCCTGTGATCAGTCTGATTGATCCTCGTCATATTTTGCTTATTCCAGCCGACTATGACGATATGATTATGGCTTTAGCACGGGATTCTAATTCCATTGGCACCTCTATGTTTCGTATTTCACGCTGGACGAAAGATTTCAATTTCGATAAAGATAGTACAAGGGTTGCTGCATGGATCCGTCTCCCAAAGCTCCCCTTTTACTATTTTACTTTGCCTTACCTGGAAAGAATTGGTAATCAACTTGGCAATTTTCTCCGAACAGATGCAAGGAGCATCAATTTTCAAAATCTGATGTATGCTCGGTTATGCGTAGAAGTTGATGTTTCTACATACTTACCTCAAAGAATTTGGATCGGCGAATCGAAGGATAAAGGTTTTTGGCAAAAAGTTGAGTATGAAGGTAACATTGCCTTCTGCTCACATTGTGGATTATTGGGTCACTTGAACAGTGATTGTAGAAAGAAACAACGGGGGCAGCAACATAATAAAAATATAATCCCTCCTGGTCCGTCGATTGGAATACGTCCGGAGCAGCATCAAGAATGGCAGCAAAATGATGGCCGCCTTCGCACCAAAGACACTGGAAACAAAGTAATGCAAGATAATGAGGGAATACATCAATCAATCGGAGTTGTTTTGGAGAAAACCCCAACTCCACATCCTCATCTTCCAGGACCATCATATACTGACAAAAAAAGCTCTGAAGATGTTATTATCGAGAATCAATTCGAAGTATTGGAACATGAGAATAGGGAAGCGGTGGATATGGGGGCCCGAATTACCCAAGACGCAATCAACGCTATTTCAGTGGAAGATGACGCACTTACAAGTCCAAATGACACAGCTTTTCAATTTCTTGACGAGGTGAAACTAGGGCATTTAGTGGTTAAAGATGGGAATTATAAAACTACCGAAAATGAACTTATATCTAATATGGAATCTCGTTACATGGATAAAGGCTCTATCTCCGATGGGCAAACGCATGAAGATGAAGATAACGAATCTCAAACTTCGGAAGAAGTAGATAAGGTACGAGTTTCGGCAGCTGAAACTAACGTTCAAGCACTGGAATCAGCACCAAGTTCGAAGAAAAAAACTAAATCTCCTACTAAGACCAAACGAAGGCCGGGTCGACCGAGAAAAGAAATTCATATAGAAGCACCACCGAACCCCGTTGTTTCTTAATGTCTGTTCTTATCTGGAACATTAGAGGTGCGGGGAACCCGAAATCCCTTCTATATCTTTTAAAGATAATTACACAACGTAAACCACAAATAGTTGCTATTTTGGAGCCTAAACAACAAGTTAATAAAATTACAAAAATTGCACAACAGATTGGTTACAAGAATTATACTCATGGAAACCCTCTCAATCCTTATATATGGGTGTTTTGGAGAGACGAGGTGAATTGGCAGACGTTGGAGATTCATCCTCAATGCCTTACTGCGGAAGTGGTGATTCCAAATATTTTTTCTGGGAAGATGACCTTCGTATACGCTAAATGCAATCGGCAGGAACGATTACCTTTGTGGGATTACCTATCTCATCACAGTAGCACTTGTCATGAGCCTTGGGTGATTGGTGGAGACTTTAACGTTATCAAAACTCTAGATGAAAAGCAGGGAGGATCGAACGCACATATGCCGGGGATGCAAGATTTTAATGACTTTTTAGTTGATGCTCGCTTAACAGATGCAGGTTTCGTGGGTAATATCTTCACTTGGAGTAATAATCAACGGGGTCAAAATCGCATTTGGCAAAGATTAGATCGAATTTTGTTGAACGCAGAGGCTTTCACTGCCATTTCGGCCAGAGTGGATCATCTCCCGAGGCTGGAATCTGACCACTGCCCATTACTTCTCAATTTTGGCCAGCTGCAAACTAAGCCATCTCGTTTCTACTTTCAAAAAATGTGGACGGAGCACCACAATTACCAAGATTTTGTTGCCTCTTTTTGGCAACAGATTATTCCTGGCGGTCGTGCTAATTTTGAGAGTAAGTTGGCCAACCTTCGCAAGGCTCTTAGAAAGTGGAATTGGGAGGTTTTTGGGAAACTCGAGGATAATATTTCTTCCATGCAAAGTAATATAGCGGATATGGAAGCCCGTCTTTCCCATGCATGGGAAGATGATTTGTTCACAGAATGCCAAAAAACAAAAACGGACCTCGTTCAACAGTTAGAATGGGAGAATGCACTTTTGGCTACCAAAGCTCGAGTTAAATGGCTGGAGGAAGGAGATCGAAACACCAAATATTTCCACACTCGGATCAAAGAGAGAAAGAAAAGGAATCAGATTACCCTCAAGCTCGACGACGGTTCCTTCACGTCAGACTGTCAACTTATAGGGGCGAAAGCATTGGCCTATTTTGATGATCTTTTTCACGCTACTCCTTACCATCTTGATCAAGATCTGTTCTCACATGTAGAAGCTAAGGTTACTACAACAATGAATACTAAACTTTGTGAAATCCCAGACGAAGATGAAGTTTACAAGGCTATTAAAGATTTGTCACCGGATAGTGCTCCCGGGCAAGATGGTTTCACAGGTTACTTTTATGTTCGATGTTGGAGTATAATCAAGGAAGATTTTATGCTGCTAGTTAGTGGCTATTTTCAAGGGGACTATCTCTCGAAATGCATGTCCACTACTCTTCTCTTTCTTCTGCCGAAGGTTTCTAATCCGGAAAACCTTACTCAATTTCGGCCAATCAGCTTGGGAAACTTTGCTAGCAAGGTTATTTCCAGAATTATTGCTTCGCGATTAAACGCAGTCCTACCTCAGATAATTTCGGAAGAACAATCAGGGTTCTTGAAAGACAGGAGCATCCATGAATCGATTGCTATAGCGCAAGAATTGGTTTCGGATATCGACCGAAAAGTTGAAGGTGGAAATATTATATTTAAATTTGACATGTCTAAGGCCTACGATAGATTGGAATGGAGGTTTTTGCTTAAAGCCTTGCACGCCCTGGGATTTTCACACCCAGTGTGCGATCTACTATATAGATCATTTTCCAATATTTGGTATTCTATATTAATTAATGGGGAATCGTACGGTCATTTCAAATCTTCTAGAGGAGTTCGTCAAGGTGATCCCCTTTCTCCACTTTTATTTATCATCGCCCAAGAAATTCTCACTCTCAATATTAAACGATTGGAGGATCAAGAACGCAGTAAAAAGTATAAAGTCCGTCGAGGCTCGCTTCACATCTCCCATCTTTTTTATGCGGACGATATGCTTTTATTCACCAATGGCAGCAAAAAATCGGTCACGAGATTAAGGCACATGCTAAAAAAATACGAGGATTCGTCTGGTCAGCTGATTAATTTGGATAAGAGTGGATTTTACACATCTAAGAGGATCCGAGATACTAAAATTCATCTCCTTAAAGAATGGACTGGCTGCACCCATAATTCGTTGCCGTTGAAATATCTCGGGGTTCCAATATACAAAGGCCGTTGTCTCGTGAAACATTTTGATTATTTGATCCAACAGGTTCAACATCGGCTGGCAGGATGGCAATCGAAGTTACTATCGTTTGGTGGTAGAATTACATTGGTACGTTCGGTTCTTTTTAGCCTGCCCACCCACACTCTTTCATCAGCCGTGGTTCCCAAGCAAACCATAGTCAGAATGGAGAGGCTTTTTCGTAAATTTTTATGGGGTAAATATGAAGGATCTGGGATTAATTGGATCAATTGGACGACTATCTGTCAGCCGAAAGATGAAGGTGGCCTTGGTTTTCGCTCATTG